GTCTTTCAATTTGTTTATGTGATGTATCACCTTTCTTGATTTGCGGATATTGTACCATCCTTGCATCCCTGGGATAAATCCTACTTGGTCATGGTGTATGATCTTTCTAATGTACTGCTGGATCCGATTTGTTAAGATTTTGTTGAGGATTTTGGCATCTATGTTCATGAGGGATATTGGCCTGTAATTCTCTTTCATTGTGTTGTCTTTACCTGATTTTGGTATTAGGGTGATGCTGGCTTCATAGAATGAGCTTGGAAGTGTTCCTTCCTCTTGAATTTTTTGTAGTAGTCTGAGGAGGATAGGTTTTAGTTTGCACTTAGTGTTTTGAAAGTAAATTCATTTCATCCAAAGTAGTTGCCACTTACATTCCTGAAATAATATTTTCTACTTAATGACAATGCTGTTGTCACCCCTAATGTTTCCCAGTCCCTTAAGTGCTGTTGGCGTGGTCTAAATCCCTGAAAGTGGCCTTGGGCCTGGTTGCCGAGGGACTGGGATTCCCATGATGTTCAGCACTGGGCTCCGATCACCCCTGAGGACACTTCTGGGACCTTTGACACATGGGAGTCCAAGGGGGGCTCCCCCAAGACTATTTCTTTGCACACCCTCACTAAGTCCTTCCTGTGTTACAGGTGTCTCTTCAAGCTGAGGGGCCACCCACCACCACCCCATCTTGGTAAGAATCCTTGCTCCCACTCCCTGACCCACCCAGGTCTAAAACACCTGCATTTTGGGTGACTTCACATCAGATATCCCTGGGACCTAATTTATATGTGAACAGTCATGCTCAGTGTTTACATACAAATCCCAGCTCTGCTATTGATGGGATTGAGGTGTTAGTCAAGTGATTGTACTCCTGAGCCTCAGTCTCCGTTTCTGTGTCTAGAATCTGACACATGTCAAGAACAGGGAGGTTGTCCTCTCATATTTAGGGGGTGGGAGGGCAGGAGGCAGGGCATGATATATCCTGCTTTTGAAAGGAAGAGTTGAATAAAACGAAATGCACAGGCTGTGAAAGGAAGAAATATACATACATTTTTGGTTTGGGGACTAATCAAAAGTCCAATTTTCAGACTTAGTAGAAGAAAAGAAACTGTGGCTAGCAGTTAATACTGTCACTGGTTTCTAGACTGGATATAGTGTATCAGCCAAGTTGAGAGCTTTCCATGAATTGTGCGCATATAAACTTGTAGTTAATAAAGTTACCCTCTACTGACACATAGCTGTTAAAATGACAGTGCACCATGGCAGATATTTCACAAGTGTTTCAAAGACCTAAATCGTAAAATGGGCCTGGATACAGGTTACCCAAAGAGGAGTGAGTGTTCTAGGCTCTAGGAGGGCTTTCCCTCTGTTCCCTGTTCTTGGATCTTCCAACACTTGGTGGCAGGCCCTTTAGAGAGGAGAAGCTGCTTTTTGTGGTCAGCTCAAGTTTTGGATCATCTGATTGTCACATTTATATTTTTTAATTGGGGGGGGGGTGAGAGAAACATCAATAATACGAGAAAATCATTGATCGGCTGCCTCCTGCATGCCACACCCACCCCACCCCCACCCCCCAAACTGGGGTTCTAGCCCACAACCGGAGCATGTGTCTACGACCAGGAATCCAACTGACCTCCTGGTTCATAGGTCCGACACTCAGCCACTGATCCACACTGGCCAGGCCCTAATTGTCTTTTGAGGGGCTGATGCTCTTCACCCTAAGTGCCCTCTGAGAGGGAGTTTCTGGGAAAGCGTGGAGGGAGGGAGGTGCCAGCTGGACATGGGTATGGGGGGCAGGGGAGATAGTGTCTCTGTCTTTTTTTAAATTGTTGAAAGTATTACATACAGGTGTGCTGGTTAATCGGATTTTTTTCAGTAGATGGAGTTACACGTGGGTTGATATATATGTGATTTGATATGTATGCTATTTTGCATTGACAGCAAGCTTCAAGACTTCATGTGTCAAATTTTCTGAAGGTGTTAACATGATACATTGTTTACATTTAAAAATGTTGAATTTCGTGTGCAAAAAGCATTTGCGAGAAGTTTTAATTCATTATGTTGAAGAAAAGTGCTGCTGAAAGTTGTATACTTTGGGAAGCTTATGGTGAACATGCTCCATCTCAAGATACTTGTGAATGCTGGTTTAAACACTTTAAAAGTGATGACTTTTGGGGGCATGCAGAAGGCAGCCAATCAGTGGTTCTTTCTCATCATTGATGTTTCTATCTCCCTCGCCCTTCCTCTGAAATCAATAAAAAAAATTTTAAAAAAATAGTGATGATTTCCATGTGAAAGACAAAAAACAGGTCAACTGAAAAAGTTTGAAGACCAACAATTATAAGCATTGTTGTTGAAGATGCATATCAAACTCAAAAACAATTTGCAGAAAGATTAAGGGTTGCTCAGCAAACTATTTCCAATCGTTTACAAGCAATGGGAAAGATTTTAAAGGAAAAAAAATGGGTGCCACATCAACTGAACGAAAGACAAATGGAAAACCAAAAAGTCATCAGTGACCCAGGTCAACCACAAAAGTTTGAAGACCAACAATTACAAGCCTTATTAGATAAAGATGCGTGTCAAACTCAAAAACAACCTGGAGAAAGATTAGATGTTGCTCAGCAAACAATTTCCAATTGTTTACAAACAATGAGAAAGATTTTAAAGGAAGGAAAATGGGTGCCACATTAACTGAACGAAAGACAAATGGAAAACCACAAAGTCATCAGTAAAATGCTGCTTCAGCGGCAAGAAAAAAAGTCTTTTTTGCATCAATTTGTGAACGGCAGTGAAAAGTGGATTTATTTTGAGAATCCCAAATGCACAAAATCATGGGTTGATGCAGGTCAACCGTCAGCATCAATGCAAGGCCAAATTGCTTTGGAAAGAAGACAATGCTCTGCATTTGGTGAGATCAGGGAAGTGTGGTGTATTATGAGCTTCTAAAACCAGGTGAAACTTAATACTGATCGCTGTCGACAACAAATAATCAATTTGAACCAAGCTTTGATCGTTCAATTTGAACCACGCTTTGATCGTAAAAGGACCAACATGGGCCAGAACATACGGCAAAGTAATTTTGCTTCATGATGATCCACCATCACACACTTCAAAACCAGTTAAAGACACGTTAAAAAATCTTGCTGATGTTTCTGTTGAAATTACCGTGTTTTGATTACAAAATCTGCATTATTAACCAGTATGCCTGTTCCCTTTTTTCCCACGTTGATCCTCTCCAGTCTGTCCCTTGTCCGTCCGTCCCCACAAACCCTCACCACCCCATTGTCTGTGTTCATGGGCCATGCATATATGCGTGCAAGTGGACAGCATATTTCTTCACAAAACTCGGATTTAAGAGTTTCTGCGTGCTAAAGAGTAGCTCACAATAGGGAGTGCTTGCCCTATTTCAGTACTTTTGACAACTCACCAGATTCTGATGGCAGGCATTTAACTTTTCTCTGATTCAGAAGGTTCTGGTATAGCTGTATCCCCAGGATAAGAAGCAAGGAATGGCGATGCAGGACTGGCCCAAAGCTGGAGGCTTTGGGGAGCTGGGTGGGAAAGGCCTGAGGTGTGGGCAGAGTACGTGCAGGGATGTGCTCATCAGACCCACCTTGGAGCTGAGTCAAGGGCCTCCTTCATCTCAGTGGATTCTGCCAACAGCCTGTCTGCAAGGCGAATCTATCCCCATATTCAACAGTGGGGCTTAGGTCAGGTGCTGCAGGTCATACAAGTAGTGACACCCAGGGATAAGCCACTGAGGTGGCAATGAGATTTAGTGTCAGAAGGCAGGCGATGGGGGTTCCCTTGTTGCAGCTCAGGGCCATGTATTAGTCATTTTTCCTGCCTGGATCTTTGCGTTCTTGTCTGTGTTGTCCCCTTAGGACTGTAGGCAAGTGGCTCTGGGGCCTGGGTGAAGAGGGAGACTAGGGTCCCCATGATGTCCAGCACTGGGCTCTGACCTCCCCTGAGGACATGGGGCAGGGACCCCCCTGGGATCTTTGACACCCAGGGGTCTGAGGGACCCTGGCTCTGGGGAAGGATGCTTGGGGGACCATGGTTGTCCTTCACCGCGCTAACTGCTTTCCCTCCCTACTCCTTTCTGCAGGTGGTTCCTCCAGGAGTCAACAGCCCCCTCATCCTTCTTGGTAAGAAGTATCTTATTAACTCCATAAACATGTTAACTTTCTAATGTTACAAATTTTTAGTTAAAAAGACCTAAATTGTGGTGATAACGGTATAATGAGAGGTGCTGAGCACCCACTCTGAGCATGCACAGTGCTCTGCACTTGTTCTTCAGACCTCAGGAACCCAGTGAGCTCGGTGGTTTGTTCCTGTTCCACAGCTGAGGACCTGCATGTACAGAGACTCTGATTTTCCCCATGCCCCTCTCCTTTTTGAAAAGGGGAAAGGGCCTTATTTCTGCAAATTCCATGTACATTGGGGTGCTGCAGGGTGATGGGGGTGCTCTCTGTTTCCCTTTTTCCTGCAGCTAAGGCAGCAGAACCAAGTAGGTTGGCTTTTGCTGTTGTTAATCCTCACCCAAGGATATTTTTCCATTGTTTTTGTTTGTTTGTTTTTTGTTGTTGTTGTTAGAGAGAGAGTGTAAGGTAGAGGGAGAGACACATGAATAGGTTGCCTCCCATGTGTATCCTGACCAGGACTGGGGATTGAGCTTGTAACCAAGGTACATGCCCTTGACCAGAGTCAAATCCAGGACTCTTCAGTCCATGGGCCAACACTATAACCACTTAGCCGAACCGGATAGGGCTAAAGAGGTTGGTTTTGATCCCCACTAATGCCACGTTGACCTGAGGGGTCATCTGTGACTTGACTGCTTGGCTGCGGTGGAGGTGCCTGTGTGGGTGGGTGCTGTGGCCTGGACTTACAGCAGAGTCGCCAGGGAGCAGCCCCTAAAACTGCCAGTTCACCCCTGAATCATGTGACTGCCACTGTGCAGAGATGGGATGGGTAGGGATGTGTAAGGAGGTAGATGTAGGACAGGGGTGAGCAACCTTTTTGTGAGTGCGTGCCAAAACCAGCAAAATCTCTGACTCAAAATTCTTCTGCGTGCCAACCCTAATTTTTTCAGAACATGTTACGTCTACTTGACATCTCTTACGGTGTACGTATGCAAAGAACCGTGAAGAAATAATAAAATTCATTCGAGCGACAAAAACACAGTATATGATGATGAAAAATACATTTATTTTTTAATGTATACATGTTATGTAAAATTATTTACTTATCTAAGATGCACCTACCCTGAATTTATCTGAAAAATAAAAAAGTCGATATTAAGAAAACAATTGTAAATGGAAGATTATAAGAGAGGGTTTTGTGTGCCAGCAAAAGTTACTGGCATGCCATGTTTGGCACGCGTGCTAGCGGTTGCCCAATGGCCTATGGCATTTGGATAACAGCGAAGAAAAATAAAACGGGTTATATTCATGGATTTTCAAGAATATCAGTTATGATAACCAAAACCATAACCTCCCATGCCGCATACTAACAAGACCAAATCTGACACTGTGGTACACAGCTACATGAGTCCCAGAGGACATTCCTGATCCTTCCCCCAGCGTGAAAGTGTTCAGTCCTTAGCAGGATTTCAGCTAGCTGGAGAGAGCCACCAGCTGGGGCCTGCCGTGGACATGGCAAATTTTACTTCTTCTTTGCCCTTTATGTAACCACATATAACATCAAGTGTCTCGCCGGTTCCTTGTAATTTAACATTTAAGTCATTCAAATGTTCACAAAAATTGTAAATGGAAGATGATTATAAGAGAGGGTTTCGAGTGCCAGCAAAAGTTATTGGCATGCCATGTTTGGCATGCATGCCAGGGGTTGCCCAACCCTGATGTAGGAGCACTTGGTATTAGATTAGAAACACGCTGATGGGGGTGCTTTGGGCCCCTATGATGTTCAGCACTGGGCTCTGACTTCACTTGAAGACACAGTGCCCCCTCAGGACCTTTGACACCTGGGGGTCTGAGGGGCCCTGGCTCTTGGGATGTGTGGATGGGGGACCATGGTTGCCCTGTGCCCCACTGACCTCCCCTCCCCCACTCCTTCCTGCAAGTGTTTCCTCTAGGGCAGGATTGGGCAACCTCTGGTACGCATGCCAAACATGGCAAGCCAGTAACTTGCTGGCACGCAAAACCCTCTCTTATAAGCTTCCATTTACAATTTTTTTCTTAATACAGTGGAGCCTTGACTTACGAGTGTCCCAACTAAAGAGTTTTTTGAGATACCAGCTGTCTCTCAGCCGATCTTTTGCATTGAGTTGATAAAGTAATTTGAGTTAACGAGCTCGGTCTTGGAACAAATTAAACTTGTAAGTCAAGGCCCCACTGTATCGACGTTTTTATTTTTCAGATAAATTCAGTGTAGGTGCATCTTAGATAAATAAATAATTTTACATAACAAGTTATCTTAAAGACCATAGAAATGGATTGACGAGAGAGGGGAAGAGCAATTTCTATGCCTCTGCCTTAACTCTCCCTGCCTTCCTAGATCCGACTAGTGTTTTGGTTTCAGCCTCAGATGGAATGGGTTTTCATTGACAAGACAACGGCCTCACCTCCTTACTCAAAATTTCACTCTATAAAACTGAATCCTCTCTTGCTTTGCCCACCGGTACTAACGAAAGGGGAATAAATTTGTTTCTCTTCGATGCGCGCTACAGCAGTAACTGGTGATGTCATCATCACACCGTATCCGTCTGTGCTGAAAAGTAAGTTTCATAATTACCATACTTCTGTTACACAATGCTATATTTGTCTATGTTTTCTTTATTCTGTTATTTTTCTTAGGAAATATTTTTAGTTTGTCACATTTTTGTTATCCATAAACCAAATCTTATAAATAAAAATAATAACTGATATGCATACAATGTATTATGATTTATAAATAAAGGTTCTACATTTTGTGATTTTTTTACATGCTTTATCTTTACTGTTCCCTGCATCGCTCCCATCTTCCCATTTGTAGGGATAGCAAACTATTTTTCTTTCTATTTACTTTAGCCCTTTGAGTGCCAACCAATATCTTAGGAACTATGCTAAAATTGCCAAGGCATTTTTGCTGATTTTACAGCAGTTGGGGGGCGGGGACTTCATAAAATTGTGGTACCTGTAAAAAATTAGGCAGATAAGTAAGTGCCAGTGGTGAATTTTAGAACTACAAACATTCGGCATCATAAGTAATCTGCACTTAGGTGCCATCTGTCAATAAAGAGTGAACTACTAGCATCTAATAGTGACACTGCAGGAGGAGCGCAATAGCGCTCCAGGCACTTTTGGGGAAAGACAGGAGGAGTGAGATCGTGCTCCCCGGCACTCCAGGGGTTAAATCTACCCACTTCTCTGACACCCTTCCACTTTCTCTCAACACTTCCCTACCTCACCCCATCCACAGGGCCTACCTCTCTATCTTCAAACTATTTTCCAGGGATGGGCATGCTCAGCCTTCACTATTTCTTCCTGGAAATTCACTTTCCCTCTCTGGGCATTGCTGATTCATTCACAGCTGATCAGGACTATATGCTAAGTCCTGGGATGACAAGGAACATTGCAAAGACCCCCTGACTTTGTGCACCTTTGTTACAGAATAGAAAACACTTACATGTAAAATGT